TCATGACTCTCCAACAGAGTCCATACTTAACGCCCTAGCAAAGAGGAGTTAATCTTGGTTAGTTTTGACTTCCTCGCGAAGAGAAGTCAATTTTTTGTTATTCTTGACATCCTCATAAAGAGAAGTCATTTTTATTTGATATTCAAAGCAATGAAGTAAATTAGGTCAGATTTGGTCTTCACAGAAGAATAGTGAAACAAATCAATCTCAAGTCTGATCTTCATGGAAGAGTAGTAAAACAAATCAATCTCAAGTCTGATCCTCTAAATGAATAGTGGAGCAGACATGTTATCCAAAATTGATCTGAATACCCGAAAAAGAGGCACAGATCAAGTCTGGTCTCCCTTGAATGAATAGTGGAGCAGACACGTCTTCCAAAATTGATCTGACTACCCGAAAAAGAGGCACATATCAAGTTTGATCTCCCCTGAATGAATAGTGAAGCAGACACGTCTTCCAAAATTGATATGAATACCTGAAAAACAGGCACATATCAAGTTTGATCTCCTCTGAATAAATAGAGGAGCAGATACGTTTTCCAAAATTGATATGAATACCCGAAAAAGAGGCACAAATCAAGTATGATCTCCTCTGAATGAATAGTGGAGCAGACACGTCTTCCAAAATTGATCTGAATACCCAAAAAAGAGGCACAAATCAAGTATGATCTCTCTTGAATGAATAGTGGAGTAGACAAGTCTTCTAAAATTAATCTGACTACCCAAAAAAGAGGAACATATCAAGTTTGATCTCCCCTAAATGAATAGTGGAGCAGACCCGTCTTCTAAAATTGATCTGACTACCCGAAAAAAGAGGCACAGATCAAGTCTGATCTCCCCTGAAAGAAGAGTGGAGAAGATTTCCCATCAAAGCATGAAGTCAACTGGACGAAGACTCCTTCTCTTTTCGTCTTTGCCCTATTCTTGGTGACACAAGAATGAGCAAAGAGGGGCAGCTGTAGACAATCATTTTCGTCCTAGTTTACATATTATTATTATTATTATTATTATTAAATAATAATTACAAAAAATTACAAGCCCAAAAAATACAGACCCAGGGCCCAATTGATAACAAAACCGGGAGACCCATTTACAATTAAATTCTGTACCCAAACTAGGCCCAGAAGCTGATCCAGGCCCAGAATCTAGACCCGAAGCCCAAAACCTATTTAGGGTTTTTGTTTAGGGTTTCCAACCAAGTTAGCCGCCACTGATCCATGACCATCCACCTGTCGTAAGCCATTGCCGCTGTCACTATCATCGCATCGACCTTATCTCTAAAAAAAATCGGTGCCACCCCTATTTGTTCACCGCCATAGCCTGGTAACTCACCGGGCTTCCTTTGACTAGTCAAAAGGGTGTATCATGAGTCCTATAAAAGGAACCCCTTTATCTGCAAGAGAGAACACACAAAGCAACAGAGGAAAGAACGGACGGAAAAACAAAAAAAATTGAACCAACAGCCATTCAAAAACACAACAGCAACTAGGGATGGCAAAAAAATCCGAACCCGATGGGGAAAACCGAAAACCGAATTAAACGGGTCGGGTTTGGGGATGATAAACGGGGATGGGGACGGGGAAAAACCGTTTATGCTAAACGGGGACGAGGACGGGGACGGGTTTGGTAATCCCCGCCCCGATTACCCGATTACCCGGCCCGATAAATATTAAAAATAATTATATATATATATATATATATATATATAATATTAATAAATTTAATTTAAATTAAAAAAATATATATAATATTTATATATTTAATTTAAATATATATATACCCCGCCCGATACTCGGCTCGATACCCGTTTAAATAACCGTTTATGCTAAACGGGGATACTCGTTTCCCCGCGGTTTTCCCCGATTACCCGATGGGGATCCCCGTTTAAATCCCCATGGTTTTTTAAGCGGGGACGGGTATGGATTTTTTAAACGGGGACAGGGTGACCAATACCCGGCCCGAACCCGGCCTGTTGCCATCCCTAACAGCAACGAAGAAAACAATAAAAGAGATGAGAAGAGAAGAAACTTACCCTGTTGTCACCGAGAAAGCTAAACGTCGCCGGAGACCGCCATTTAACCGAAGGTAAAACGCTTAGATCTAGGGATTTTGGTGGGTTTTTAGGATGAAATGAGCTCAGATTCGGGTATAGGAAAAAATGGCTTTGATTTGGGTTCATTTTCGAATTCCGACCACCATAGACGGTGGCCGGCGGTAGTCGACGGTGCCAATGTAAAGCGGCTGGCCTGGTAGCCGGATTCCCTCCGGTGAGATTTCTAGAGAGAGACAAGAGAGAAATTTTAATTATCTCTCTTAGAGAGAGAGTAGAAATGAAAAAAATGAGGAGTTTGAAGGCCATTTGAACAGGTTATGGGGTATTTATACCCCTCCCCAAACGATATCATTTTGGGGGTATCTGGGATTTTGAGAACGGGTAAATCCCATTCCAGGTCCCTGTAGTTTGTAATTTTATAATTTGGTCACTAAAATCAATTTCACTGTATTTTTATTTGGATGTCAAATTTTATTCTGTTTATATGTTAGTCATTAACCGTATTTATATATGTTTTGGGTAAATATCCCATTTAATCCCTATTATTTTAATAGTTTTTATTTTAATCTTGAATAGTAATTAGGGTTAAATTACCATTCCATTACCTCAATTTTATGATGTTTTTGTTTAAGGCCATTACATTTTGTTTGCTTTGTATTTTAATCCCCGAATTTTAATATTTTTAATTTTAAATAATATTTGTGGTTTATTTACATTTAAAGTACCTAACATATTAATTATTTGTAATTGTGGCCTTGATTTTTTGTAATTTTATGATTTAATCCCTAAATTCATCATAGTTATTATTTTAATCCAGTAATTACATATTTGTTAATTTTTTCTAATTATAATATTTTTAAATGTTATTTTACTCGAGTAATTTATAGAAGCATGTCTTAACTGACAAGGAGTGTGTTTCTAAGGATTATTCGTATAAAATAATATTTCATTTTTATTTTTCTAAAAAATGTCATAATTTAAATGTTATTTGAATTTGCCAATTTTAATATTGAGATGACGTATAATCGTGTAAGTACCAATTTTTGGGCGTTGTGGGGTGCTAATCATTCCCCACACGTAACCGACTCCCGAACCATTTTCAAAATAAATCTATCGTTAAACGCAGATCAAATTTTAATCTTTTAAAATTATTTTTCTTAAAATTATTTTAAAATGTATTTTTAAGGTATTCGACTTATCAAACCCAAAAGTCGATGACGACTCTAAATTTGTATATCTATTTTTTTATTTTTAAACCCAATATGTTTCTAATATTAAATTGGAACGATTTTCGAAAAAAACCCTAAAAAGTCGACGGGACCGTTTCGACACAATTCTTTGACGTGACTTGTTCACGTGAACTAACTTCGTCCACATGACATCCATAATAATAGATTAAGTTATATCCGGTTCAATGGGATTAGTTCAATTTGAGGGATTAAATGTAATTTGAGGGTACTTATAGAACAGGGAAATTAAATTTGATTTGATCTTTTAATATATAAATAAAACTAAGAGATGTTCGGATCAATAATACGTGCGTTCGACATATATTGTGTTCGTAATCATATTCTTTTAGCAAAATATATATGCATATATTATTTTCGTTACATGTTAATAATTTATTTTATTTGAATTTTAACCAAAAATAATCTCTTTATGTACTGCATTAGACTCCTAGGAATTGTTTTACCAAATAACCTCGTCTGGTCTATTTCTGCACCAAAAGAAATATTTGGAGAAGTTGTTCTACAAATTCAATATGCAGACATGTTGAACAGTAGACACACTTATACCTGTCACTCTCAAGTTAAGTAAGATGAGTGGAGGAGCACTTGTTGATGCTCAGGAGTATTGTAGTGGTGTAGGTGCCCTACTATATGCGTGTCAAATTAGGCCGGAAATTTCTTTTGTTGTGCACAAAGTGGTACAATTTATGCAGCAGTCATTTGAGACACACTGATCGGGAGTTAACCGTATATTGCGTTATATGAAAGGAACATTGAACTATGGACTTTGGATTGCACATTAACAGGACCTGTTAGTGCTCAAGACTTTTACTGATGCTGACCGGGGCAGTGACCCTGATGATCATCGCTCGATACCAGGATATTGTGTGTTCTTGGGGCGACATTTGTTATCGTGGAATTCTAGGAAACAAAGGTATGTATCCTCCAGGTCAACAGTTGAGGCAGAATACTGCAATTTGCTGATGCTACTTCTGAAGTTCTTTGGGTGAACGCAATCTTATCTGATATGCGTGTGCAACTATCTCACTCTTCAGTTATCTGGTGTGATAACAGCAGCACTGTTTCCATGGACGTCAATCTCGTTCTACATGCTAAAGTTAAACATGTAGATCTAGATATTTATTTTGTTTGGAAAAGAGTTTTGAATCAGATATTGCAAGTGAATTACATTCCTTCTCAATTTCAGATTGTGGATGTTCTAACCGAACCTCTTGTCACGGCTAGGTTTCAGGAACTGCGTCAAGGTCTTTAGGTGTTGTACTTGCATCAGTTGCAGGCTAATGGTGATATTGCTGGAGGAGATTGTTAAGAATTGGTTTCAAGCAAACAGATTATGTTACATGTAGTTAAGCCCGATCAGTCTTTATTGGGTCAAACTTACCGTGTTGATCTACCAGATTGGACCGAGGCTATATAAAGCTTTCATTGGCAAAAAGGGTCGAATATATCTTAAGGCCTACATTCCTTAATTTCTTCTTTAATCTCTAACTAACCTAATTGTGTGCTTTACAGCTGCTGCTCCTTCAGCCGCTTACTGTCTAGATGTATTTAGGATGGGAATGGGTTGGGTTTTCGGCCAATCCGACCCAACCTGAAAAAATATATCACCTCTACTCAAAATTCAATTCGATTTGAAATTAGAGTGTCTTCATCCGACTCAACTTTTTTAGCTAAAACCTGAAACATGGTAGTTGGCACACACAATCCCACTTATTAACCTGATGGTACAAACAACAAATATATCCATGATTCCGCTGTAACATGCTTGTTGCATTGTAGTAGCAATAAGACTTTATTTTATACATGTGAAATAGAGTAGAAACTTTATAAACTAAAGTCACTGGGAATAGAGAAGAAGTGGGAGCCCACATCGTCTTCACACGGCACAACTTGATAGTCCACAGTAAGATGGCCAGCAGCGTACCCTTGGCCATCAGTATCAATCGGCCTAAACGCAGTATCTAAGTCCAACTCCAGGGCTCCACTCCCGCATCTATCCACCACTCTCACTATTTCATCATCTTTTGTGCGTGTGTTGGTTACCTGTTTATTAAACCCAAGATTGATTACACTATGTATATGTATGGTAAGGGTAAACTACATAAGATACCACCGAACTTTAGGCGTTGTATCGTTTATACCACCGAACTTAACTTTGCCAATTATAGCACTAAACTTTAATTTTCATTTCAATTATACCATTGAATCGTTAAATCGTTAACAACACAATGACATGGCCGATGACTGCAGATGTAGACACCTCACCAAAAAGATGAAGTTATCCGGTTGTTAACGATTTAATAGCCTAGTGGTATAATTGAAATGAAAATCAAATTTTAGTGTTGTAATTGATAAAATTGAAAGTTCAGTGGTATAAATAATATAACACCTAAAGTTTGGTGGTATGTAGTGTAGTTTAAATCATTTAATTAATAAATAAATGGGTAAACTACATGTTTAGTACCTCCAATTATCACATTTATTCTATTTTGGTTACTCAATTATTTTTTTAATTATAGCTATTGTTTTATTTTTATCACCCGCCGTTACAAAAGTAATAGAATTACTAACGTGTCAGTTTTTAGATTTTTTCAAAGATAATATGACATTATCTTATGATGAAATGTCAGCATCACCATTAATTTTTTAATAGTGGGTAACTAAAATAAAATAAGAAAATAACATTAGTTGGGGTAATAGTCTAAATGTGTAGTTTATCCTAAATAAATTGATACCTTTAAGCACCGGCCACATATGTCTTTCAATTCAGAACCAATAACATTTCCACAGTAACCAGTCCATCCATATCTTTGGCGCCACTCCAAGGGTTTACCACCATCTAAGGCACGGCAAGCGACAGCACGGTAGCTCCAGTTATACTTTTCAACCTGGTAGTCAGACCAGTACGCTATGACATTAGTCTCACCGGGACCTGCCGGTGGTGGAGGAGGTGGTGGAGGTGGGGGAGGAGGTGGTGGTGGAGGTGGGGGAGGGGGTGGTGGAGGAGGTGGGGGAGGAGGTGATGGTGGTGGGGGAGGAGGTGGAGGAGTAGGCGGAGGTGGTGGATTACAATCCACGACCTCGTAGTTCACCGGAAGGTATCCTGTCATTTTACCGCTTCGATGGTAATCGATAAAATCAAAAGCAGTTTCTTCCAAATCGATTCTTTCGGAATCGCAATGGTCAACAATTCTCACCACCACGCTGTCATCACTGACAGGGTTGGTCACCTGCATGGAAGTGCAGTATTTATGTTATACTATTAAAGTACTCATGCATGAGAATTCTAATGTCATTCACCAAAAGATCTTTAAATATTTGCTTATGTATACCTTTAAGCACTGGCCACAACTAGCTGGAAAGAAAGGACCAGTCCGTCCACATAAGGCGGCCCAATAATGTTGGCTGCGCCATTCGCGAGACTTATCGGCGTCGAACGGGGCGCAGGCAACGCCTGCCTTATTCAGGTCCCAGTCGATATCATAAGGTTCGTAATACACCCAATAGGCCGTCGCATTTTGAGTAGTAGCCTTATAACCAACCACAATGCCCAACAACACAATACTAATTATGATGTCTACTACTGATCTCCCCATTTTTGTATGAAAATGTCTTTCTAATGTTTTGATGAAATCATTTACAGGAATCCTCGTATTTATAGGCAAAATTTCCTCACAGCTTTCAAAGCCAATTAATTTGGCAGCAAAGAGATGTTTGGACCTAATGGAGAAATAATTATTAGCAAGTGGATGAAATATCAAAGGGATAATTGTTTTTGTCTTTTTATACCTTAGAGATGCATGTGATTTCCATGCTGCTGCTTTTTTTAATTGTCATTTTCTCAATGTTTGATTGTGATATATAGAGTCACATGTTCATGATGCTTCCTTTTCATTTTGAATTGTTATTTTCTCAATGATTAGGAGCACTTGCTAATCATGCAAACATCGTTATCAAGAAACAACGGTGGGTGATATATTTATTTTCCCCTTTTCGACAGAGTATTTGTTTATAATGATATTTTTTATAAAAAAGGAACGGTTCTTCAAGCATTGTACTGGCTGGCTATAAGGATATTGAAATTATTATAAAATTACGAGTTTTATGATTCTCCATAAACAAACTATTACGTGAGGTCAAGAACCAAAGTGTTGATGAGCTAATTACTTTGTCGGATGTCAAAGTGAATATTGTGGATGCTACTTTTTCAACTGCAGAAAACGAATATAGTTTAAAACTTAAAGTGAGTGGTCACGACGATGAAAAGATAAATTATTGATTTTTTTCGTAATTTATAATTGAATTAATTGAACAATTCGAGATCTATTTCGATTAATAAATTTTTTTAAAATTTAGTTATTGGTTAATTTAGTTCGAAGTTTTGTTCTCTGAATTTGTAACACCCTCAGACCGATACGGGTGACCCAATCTGATTTGGGGTGTCACATTAAGGCCACCAGACCGACCTAGACTGAAAATACTGGAAAATTTAAAATTTTTGTTAATTCATTTAAAACTGTAAAATAATTTATAGATAAAATACAAGTTCATAAAAATATTCATATATTAAAAATAGAATTCAACAATATCCAATAATAAAACAAGTTTCAGACTCGAACATAAAAAGCATAATACATCCTACATGCCCCTAATTACATGCGCCGTAGTCTCCAAGCAACGCCGGTAGAACTCTTTTACTAATGTCGATAAAAGCATATGATCAAACTCTTTAAACTGAAATCGTAAGTAATAGAGTGAGCTTTGGGAAGCTCAGTAATACAGAACTATCAGATGAATACAATAGGTCATCAGATATATGGTAAAGCATAAATTTCCTTAGTGTTACTGGCATCAACAAGTTCTAATGATGAGTTTAGATTTCATTAATTAGTTCTTCAGGTGATAGTCAGGAAATTACATTTCGAAAGAACATTCATAGATAGAGACTCAGGAGATTGAGTTGAGTCTAGTGTGTTCCACCAAAATCAGAGAAAATTGTACATGTCATTTAAAAACTGTAATAGTTTAAAAAAATATTTTAAAACCATAGTAATACCCTCCAACCGAACACCGATATGCAGTTCCCCATAATTGCATCCATAGGAACTTACCCTAGGCCCATTGGGCGTAAGAGCCAACCTAAGAGTGTATCTTGAGGCTTGAGAGCCTACCCAAGAGTGTTACCTGGGTCCTAAGAGCTTACCCGAGCGAGTACCTTGGGGTTTTAGAGTCTACCTAAGGAAATGCTTTGGGGCCTCAGAGCATACCCATGTGTCACCTTAGGTCCGTAAGGATTTACCAACTTTATCAGAGTTGAACTTCCATACTCCAGAATCCTACCCAGACAGTATCCCAATAAATCATTTCATACATTAAATAGTAAATTCTATGATCCATAATTCAGGTATAATTATATTTTCCAGTGAAAACAAGTAACTAGAGAGCACATATCATGAGGCCATAGTTCATAAACAGTAAATCAATACATTAGTAAATCATAATATCGAACGGTTAAAAGATTCAGTAAATCAGTATCTTCGATAAATCACATTTCAGAATAGATAAAACAATCATTTAGCACATAGGGAACACACTAGATGATCCAGTTATTTTTTAGAGGTACTTGGTATTTATCAGGTATGGAACCACAAAACTTCTATAAATTGATAGAATTTCATAAACAGACTCCCAATTAAAAAGGGTTCAATAGCTAACGGATTAATCAATCATTCATAAAGCGATACATCAGGATCATTTAGTATTTATATCTATATGAAGGGCATTCAAGAACTGTTGTATCAGAATTATTTAATATTCGGATATTCCAGGGGTGATTCCGTCAATCAGGTTCACAAGAGCATTTTAGTCATTCTGGATCTATGAGATGTTTTAGTATTTAATTCAATAAAAGTAAAACGATGACTTGCAATATTCCATATTTATAATGAATTATCGGCTTCCGAGTCCAATCAAGCTAAATATTTCTCATCATTGTAATACATAGAAAGACTTCAGTAAGAACACATCACATATATTGATTTCTTCATACTGATTGTATTATGCAACCGAACAAATCCACCTTCACAAATCTTAATTGAACAGATCCCAATGAGGCATAAATATATTCATGCGATAATTATCTTAACTCTCAAATCTTAATAGTAGCAAGCATGGCCGATAAGCTTAGGTCATGCTTCAACTTTTAGGAGAGATATAACCTTTAATTCTATCAATATTTCAAAAATTATCCAAAGATATTCTCTTATTCCAAGTCGTGAGGGTATTTAAATAATTTAGAATCTCAAGGGTATTTTAGTCATTATGGAGATCAAAGGTACTTTAGTCATATTAGAGCTTAGAGTATTTTGATCAAGTTGAAGTTCATGGGTATTCTGTTCATTTTGGAGTTCAGGGGTATTTCAGTCATTTCATTCAATATAGTATTTCCATTTAATTCAACCATTTATTTTCATTATTTCGAATAATTCAAACGTAAAGAGTACTTCCATGGTATTAGTCTTTAAGTACTTGCATAGAAATCGATAATTCTAGGTCTTCAGCCTTTACGGAGGTTGTGAACTAATTATCAGTAATTTTCCAAACAAATCTTGCAATTAACAAGTGAATCAGTAATTTCATCAGGTCAAAAATAAATTCTCATGTCAAATCCACTAATAAGAGAAATTGAATGTCATTTTTACATCTCAGGGGTAATTTTGTAATTTCTTATCTAGGTATAACTTTTAACGAGAATAATAAGAATATGTGGTTAGTCATTTCACTGATTAATCTATGAACTTGGAATTATTTATTCCCAGACTTCTAATTTCTGATAGAGTCATCCGAGTCTTATTCAGTGTACATACTTTTTATTGTATTCAGACCGAGTTTAGAGGTGATTAACTACATACATGTGACAAAATATATTCATCCATGCATCAACCACTACCAACATGTTCTATAAAGCATGCAAAAGGTAGTAATGTATTACCTCAATTTCTAAGTCACAACGGTCGACCATTTAACATCATTCGATCGCTCTTGAACTTGAATTCGATGTCCTATAGTATCTCGGGTACATAACAAAATAAAATGTGTCAGAAATATTTAGTATAGCAGCTTAGCCTAAATGGCTAAGGCTTAGGTTTGGTTCCCCATGCTTAGCCTAAATGGCTAAATGGCCAAGGCTTAGCCTTATTTGGTTTAAGAAATATTTTATTTATTTTATATTAGTACAACAACTTAGCCTAAATGGCTAAGGCTTAGGTTTGGTTCCCCATGCTGAAAAATGTGCATTCAATTCCTCAAACCACATTTTTTTCACTAAAAATGGATGGGCAATTCCAAACTTGGGTCCTTGAACTTTTAGAAATTTAAAAAACCACCATAACATATTTAAGATCATATAAATTGATTCCCAAATTTAATTAAATAAATTTAATTTAAAATCAAGAGAAAATTGGGGTGTTACAAAATTCGTTCAGGTTGTCCCCATGTATGTACGAAGAGATAGTTTGAAATCAAGGAGACCTTATAATGGGTAAATAGAAATGGTAAAAGGAAAGGCTTTGCTTTGCCCACCATTATTAGACCCACCTTTAAATCTTATCTCAATATATTATTTTTTTAACTTTATCTAAATTCTCTCATTTTCAAAATTAATTATCAAAATCATTAAACAATTTAAATAGTTGAAGTGAATGTTATTCTTTTTAAATATTTTGAGTTTGAGTAACTACGTCAATAAGTGTAATTGCCATTTTTTTCCTTTCATACTTCATTACAACACCCTAAACGGGCCCAAACATAAAACCGAAACATGCCCAATTTAAACCCAAACAGAACCTATACCCAAAATACCCAAAACAAAACCCAACTCGGAGCCCAAACCAAACCCAACTCGAAGCCTACCCTAACCTTAACCTCACCCTAGTGTAGCCGCCCTAATCATCCCATCAGCTGCCATTGATCTCTGCGCCAAGCAAAGGAATGTTGCTCCAGCACACCACCACCCAACACTCCACGCTACCTACAGAGACAACAAGAAAACGAACAAAAATTACAACGATTTTAACAATTTTCTTTTCTCTATAATGGGTATAAAACCCCAAGCATAAAAATTGCAAATCTCTCAGTTTTTCATCCTTCTAGAAGCAATAAACAGAGTTTCAATGTTATTATTTTCCCTTTTTAATTTTTAGTAGTATACATTTTTTTTCTTTTTAAGTTTCTAATATTAGCAAAAAAGGAAAAATATTTTTTAATTATCAAAAAATAACAAAAAAAAAGTTTTTATGTTTCGAAAAAAGAGTAAACAACAAAAACAAATGGGCCTTTAGTTTATGCACAACCGAATAAAAAATGTTTTAGTTCGAAATAACAACCACATCCAAGTTTTTTTTGCAGTAAAAAACAAAAGAAAACAAAGAAAAGTTAGATTTGGTTACCTGAGTCGTAAAAGGGCTTCGTCAGAGGTCGCCTGAGTTGGGAAAATCGAAAGGTCAAGGGCGGCTTTTCGGGGTCTTTAGGGAGTTTTTTTTTTTTTTGTATTTTTATCACCAAATAGGGGCCTAGGTTAGTAGGTCTGGGGTTTTCGATCTTTTTAGGTTAGTTTAGAAGTTTCGATTGCCACGTGTGGCGCCTGGAACGACGGTCGGACGACGGTC